GGGCCTGGCCACCAGCACCAGCACCGAGACTTGTGCTCGCAGGATTCTCTGCGGTCAGTTCCTATAAGGCCCTTTCTGGCATCAGCCCGAATCCTCATTTGTGGCCTTTCAGCTGCAGATGAAGCCACTGGCAGCCCCAGAAGCACTCTCTTGGCTCTGGACTTTGACAACACCGATTTCTTTTTGGTCCAGAAAACACTCCCTGATCATCTCCTCCCTGCCGCCCCCAGTCCCAATCACCGTGCCGTCCTTCTGGGGCTTCAGCCTTATCACAACAAATAACTTAGACAGTATTGGGGTACCCAGTAGGAGGGGGTGCATGTAGAAGATACATTGGTGCCAACAGAAGTGATATGGGGGTTCATGGAAATAAAAACACGAAGAGCTGGGGTGGGGGCTAGCCAGGGCATGCAACCGTTGTTGGTGCCCTCAGGCGAGGTTGGTTGAACCCCAGTTCTGGATGAGACCCTGCAGCAGGTAGACGCCGTGGTAGCTGAAAGGTGAACTAAGACACGGCCCTTGACATCAACGTGCTCCTGGTCCCGGGGGTGAAGGCGGTAGGTGGTGGGAGCTCAGACCATGCTTGCCCACACAGAGGCTGGGACAAGAGGCCTTCACTGTGGGGCTCAGAGACAGGCCAGGCAAGGGCTGAGATAAAACTCAGTATCCCCACACAAACCCCTCTCCCCCCCCCCCCGAGGGTACATTCAGGTTTACCTGTACACAGGTTCATCTGATAGGATTCAGTTTTGTTACTTTTTAAAGATGCATTTATTTATGCAGATGGAACTAGAGACTGGAGTACAGCCAGAGGTGCGGGGGGTGAGAGGATTTACCAGAGACAGACAGAATAGGTAGATCCACTGAAATACACTGCTGAGGTGCCCGTGAGTCAGGAGAGTTCCACCACTGGCCGGGGATTGAACTCGTGCTGCAGTGGGTGTGATAGCTTCATAGTGCTGCGCCTTAACCCGTTGCGCCACCAGGGAGGGCCCAGGATTTCAGTTCTTCTAATGAGAAGACTGAGCCTTTTATTCTCTAGTGGAAATACAGGACTTGCCATGCAACGGGGTGGGAGAAGCCTTGTTCGTGGTGGTTTAGCTACCCCTGAAGTATTAGCAGTTAACTCAGCAAGTCTATCTGGCTGACGTCAGACCTGGGCTTGATGGTGGGGAGGACAGGGACCACCCACGGGGTGGCAGGAATTCCTTGGAGCACGTCTGTGAGACTGTGGAAAGAGCACGTCTTGCCCGCAGCCCACCGTCTCTGTCCGCCACAGGGGCTGATGGGCGGGCTGCAGAGCCTGGCAGCTGCTCTTCTCAGGATGAGCCAAAGTATTTTTAGTGGCTGTGCTTTTTATCAGAAATGTCTGAGCTCAGGTTCGTTGATCATTTACGATCCACTCATTCTCCCCACAGGTGACCATCTACCTGGGCAAGAGAGACTACATAGACCACGTTGACCAAGTTGAGCCTGTGGGTGAGTTGTTTGGAGTGGAGTTTAATGCCGGTGCCCTTCCCAGCCATCAGACTTTGCTGGTTTTGTATTTTTAAAACACCACTTTATTAATCATCTACGCAAAGACATGCAAGTTAAAATCAGGGAGGCGCCATCAGCTGACTGAAAGCAATTCTAAATAGCATGAAGAAGACAAAGGACTCTTTTCTAGAATCCATAGACCACTCAAAACTCAACATTAAAAACAGTTGAACTGGAAAGTAGACAAAAGATGAGAAGAGCTATTTCATCAGAGAAGAGATCTGGGTAGCACATCAGTACAGAGAAAAATTTCATTAGGGAAATGCAAATAAAAACCATGGCGAACTGTTACATACCTGTCACAACAACTAAAATGAAAAAATAGTGACAATACCAAATGCTGCTGAGGACGAGATCAGTTGGGTCCCTTGTCCATGGCTGTTGGGGGCAGATGCTCTAGAGCATAGTTTGGTTTCTTAAAAATTCAACATATATATGATCCAACAGTTGATTCCTGGCATGTATTTAGGAAAGAGAAAGAAATGAAAACTTATATCTACCCAAGAAACTGCACAGCTTTCTTTATAATATCTCCAAGCTAGAAAATGTCCTCATCAGGCACATAAATTTGAGCACACCAACCACACAGTGGAATACTACTCAGCAATAAAGAAGGAACTATTGATACATGGAACAGTTTATGCTCTCCAGGGCATTCTGAGTGGGCAAAGCCAATCCAGAAGGTGACAGATGGCATGATTTCCACGTGTATGACAAAATATAGACATAGAGAATAGATCAGTGTTTGTCAGGGGTGACAGATGGGGGAGTAGTTGGGATTAAAGGGACCGGTTGAGGGAGGTCTTTGTGGTGAGGGGAGGGTTCTTCAGATTGCAGTGGCAGTTACAGGAATCACTAAGGGCAGTAGAATAACCTGGATCAACTAGATGCTTGTGGTAGCCAGCCAGTGTCCTGGGTTTGATAACACACTTAACTGTTAAAGACATAACCATTTCATGACTGGTTGAAGGACATGCGACCTCTCTGTATTACAATGCAACTTCCTATGAATCTATCATTTTTTTCAACCTAAAATCGCTTTTTTAAAGCAAGTTAAAAGGCGGCATCTTTTCAGGCACAGGGATTTTAGGCCTCAGCAAAACCCGTTCTGACAAGGCAGGGCTGTTGCGTCAACAGCCAGGTCCAGCTGTCATGGAGACACGGATTTCTCTGGAAGGATGCTCGTGGCAGTGTTAATTATAGCGGGAGAAATTAGAAATAACCCAGGTGCCCTACCAAGAGGGCTTAGTTAAATGGCCACCATTAAAATGATCAGTGCCTATTGTCTGTGCGTGTGTGCCTGCCTGTGAGTGACTGTTTGCAATATGTATTTCAGCAAGGCGAGCGGTTAACAGACCAGTGCGATGAGATAGCATTTTCCTGGTGAAACGTTCCTTGAGGTGTAGCTACATCTGGAAAAGGATCCTGCACCAGTGTGTGGCCAGGGGTGTGCCTGGGGCTGGAAACTTGGGGGTCCTCGCCCGCTGGTGTTGACATGGGCCTCATGGGCAGACACCAGGCCGTGCCCACCCTGCCACTGGGCTCCGTCATGGACACCCTGCTGCTCTCTCTTTCCATATAGATGGCGTCGTGTTGGTGGACCCCGAGCTGGTGAAGGGAAAGAAAGGTGAGGCGTAAAGCCCAGAATCCGCTGCGACGCTCCCCCGCCCTCCCCGAGCCTCAGCCCCGAGCTCTGGCAGTCCCAGCGGCGGGTCGCCTGTTCCCGGTGGCCGCTGTGCCGAGCCGGCCCAGGCGGATTAGCCTGGGCCGTGTCTCTGACGCGTCTCTGACGCAGCCCCGTCCAGAGGGGTCGCTGCGGAGGGGACTGTCCACCTGGACGGGCGCAGCAGAGGCGGCTGCCAGCTGCTCTGTGTCCTGTTCCCCTCGGCCCGCACCCTCCAACCTTGGGGTGAGGGGTGCAGTGGGCTCTGGCACCTTCCTCTTTGGGACAAGGGGAGACACACAACATCATCAACCTACGACAGCCAAGAACTCGGGGTCCCCTTCTGCCGGGCCTCCTGTTCAGGACCAAGGCCAACCCTCTGCTGTGTCTCCCAGCGGACAGGGGTGCGCTGCCCTCCCTGAAGCGGCTGGGGGGCTGGTGCCAGAACAGGCGTGGGCACAGGCCGTGGGCACAGGCTCTCGCCCCGTGGGGCACCAGCTGCGCCCGGTCAACGTGAATTTTCAGAAGTCCTGGCTCTGCATTTCTGAGCAGCGGTCCCCGCTGGGTGTGCCCTTCGGTCCCCTGGTCCCCAGGCTCCCCTTCCACACCCCGCTCAGATACCAGCCAGCCGTGCTCCCTGGCGCGGCTCCTCTCTGTCTTGCCTTCCTGAAGCTTCGCCCTAGGAACCCCGCGGCCGCTGAGCTGAGCTGGTCTGGAGGGGGGCTGGGGGGCGGGGGAGGTCAGATAGCAACCCAGTGTGGGTCCTGGCAGGGGCACCGGTCTCTGCGTGCCGCTTGGCGGAGGTAACCCCGGGGGAAGCGCCCTGCTCCCTGGGCTGTGTGTGGGCGACTGGGTAGTGCCACCCCAGCCCACCCGTGGATGCTTGTCCGAAGCCACGCCCTGGGCAGCGCCCCCTGCAGCCTCTGTGGGCCCCTGCCTGGGGTGAGACCCCTCTCTCCACCCGCTCTAGTGTACGTGTCTCTGACCTGCGCCTTCCGCTACGGCCAGGAGGACATCGACGTCATCGGCCTGACCTTCCGCAGGGACCTGTACTTCGCGCGGCTGCAGGTGTTCCCGCCCATGGGGGGCGGCAGCGCCCCCACGAAACTGCAGGAGAGCCTGCTCAAGAAGCTGGGGGGCAATACGTACCCCTTTCTGCTCACGGTGGGGGCCTCCTCCCGTCCTCCACCCGCGCTGCGTCAGGCCGCGGAGCGAGGCACAGGGCGCGGGGTCACGACTCATGTGTGGGCTCCAAATTGCACCCTCAGAGGAAATTCTAGATTGCACGGGCTGTGGTTGTCTTTTTTTTTAGCCCTCAAAAATAGCCTCCCGGCCTTTGAAGGGACGTTTCCACCGGCCCACCACCTAATTACACGCACATGTGTTAGCCTCCAGCTCTATAAAAAGAAAGAGGAAAGCGGACAGCGCTTCCCCAGGGACAGGAGCCCTGAGAGCAGGCCTGTTCCGCCGCCTCGCCGAGACAGCTGGCTCCATCTCGAGGCCCAAGTCCCCCCAGCTGCCCTCTGAGCCGCCCTCGCACGCTCCTCACTCACACACGGGGCCTTGAGGACAGAGACCCCCCCCAGGGCATGGCCACACCTGCTCCCTCAGCAGGGTGGGACCTGCCGGAGCAGACCCGCTGGGCACCTGAGTCCCAGGGACAGAGAGCAGCCTGGAGGCCACCTGGCTGTGGCGGAGGGGCTGGGGAGCGGAGGTTCAGTTTGGGGTGACGTTCTGGGGTGCAGCGCGGATGTCCTTACTGCCGCCTGGTGGCACCAGGAAAACGCTGAGCCGTCTGTTACGTCTGTTTGACCACACTTATTTTTTTTAAAGATTTATTTACTTATGCACACAAGAGCTGAGGTACAGGCCAGAGGTGCGGGGTGGGGAAAGGACTCCCCAGAGACAGAGCGGGGAGCAGAACAGGCAGATCCATCGAGAGACACTGCTGAGGGGCACAGTGGGCAGGTCAGAAGCGGTCTGCTGCCCTGCGGGTCGCCCCCTGGCCGGGGATCGAACTCATGCTGCAGCGGCTGTGACTTCAGCCCTTCATTGTGCCTTCCCAGTGCTGAGGCTTCACCCCTTGCGCCACCAGGGAGGCGCATGCACTTATCTTTTTAAAAAGACCCTTAAAATGGGCTCGTCCCAGTCACTTGGTGCCCTCAGATGTGGGCTGGGGGGGGCGCCCCGGAAGCCGTGAACCTGGCAGCGCTGGTTCATTCGCATGCACGTTGGGCCTGAAGCCACCCGAGCAAGTTTGGGGTGGCAAAGCGACAGGGCCACACGGCATCTGGGCATCGGTGGCGTTCTGTGACAGCGTGCACGGCACACACGCGCACACACGGGCAGGCGCGCAGCGAAATCGCGCGGGGTCAGCGGCTCTGAGCGTCCAGGGCTGCCTTCCCGCCGCCGGGCAGCTCGAGTGCGTGACCGGGCCGAACCCTTCCCACAGGAGGTCCTTTGTCTCCCCAGTTTCCTGATTACCTGCCCTGCTCCGTGATGCTGCAGCCAGCGCCGCAAGATTCGGGGAAGGTGAGCTGAAGAGGAAACGCCCCGGGCTCATCTGCTCTTCCGGGGAAGGGCGAGTCGGGACTTGGGGTCCCCAGCCCTGGCATTTGTGGGCCCACCCCCCTGCCCAGGGGCCCCTGCATCTGCCTCCACCCCTGGAGGCCAGTGGAGTCAGTGACACACTCAGGAACACCCGGGGAGGATGGTGGGGGGGGGACGGCTGGGGGCAGCACCTGGGGGTGCCCCGCGGGCCCCCTCGTCCCCGTCTGATGTCACTCAGTCATCCCCCGCGAGCTGCAAGGTCTTGCCTTAGTGGCGCCTCCCTGCAAAGCTGCGGCTGAGACACAAAGCAGGTGCCGGGTCGCCGCTCACGAGGTGCTGACCTGAGCCTGCCCTCCGCCCGCAGTGCTGTGGGGTGGACTTCGAGGTCAAAGCCTTCGCCACAGACAGCGCGGACCCGGAAGAGGACAAGATTCCCAGGAAGTAAGAGTGCCTTGCAGGAACAGAGGGGTCGGGGGCAGGGGAGAGGGAAGAGAAACCACCCGACTTCCTCTGCCAGGCGGGGGTCCGGGGTCAGTCTCCCGGCTCAGGCAGGAGGACCCAGCCACCTGCGCGTGGGGGTGATGCTGATCCTGGAGGGGACAGGCAGAGACGGGTGCCCCGCAGGGCGTTTCTTCTTTGTCTTGGGAGGTTTTATTGCGGCAGAAGGGAACATGACGTTGGGCGCTTTAACCATTTCCAAGCGCACGAGCGCTAGCATTAAGCCAGATACTGTCTTGTGTAGAGAGGTCCCCTTGCCCCCTGCAGGGGGTCCTTGGCCATCAGCAGACTCCCCTCCTCCGGGCCCCCGACACCCAGCCCCTGGTGTCCAGCTTCTCCTGGGACCTGGGCGAGGTGTCCGACTGTGGCCATAGCCCACCCCTCACCCAGACAAGTCCAGGGGCTCCTGATGACAAATAGCCACCACCCTGCGTCACGTCTGGGGAGCGCTTTGAGGTGCCCACGTGAGGCACATTCGCACGGCCACCTCCCCCCAAACCAGGGCAAGCCCGCAGCCCCCAACGGAGGGTCAGAGTGACCCTGGCAGAGTTACTGCCCCCAGCAGAGAATGGACGGGAACCAGGCCCGCAGGCCCCCCCTCAGGCCTGTGCGGGGCCCCTCTCTGCGGCCCCGAGCGGGTCTGTGCGTGTTGGGGGGTCCTGACAGGGCCCGGCCGCCCCCAGGAGCTCCGTGCGCCTGCTCATCCGCAAGGTCCAGCACGCGCCCCTGAAGGTGGGCCCCCAGCCGCGCGCGGAGGCCGCCTGGCAGTTCTTCATGACGGACAAGCCCCTGCAGCTCGCGGTCTCCCTCAGCAAGGAGGTGAGGCCTGCTGCCCCCCGCTCCGCGGGCCTGCGTCTGGGGGTGTGGCCTCGGCGGGTCTGCGAGCAGCTGGCTCTGCCGTGAGATGTATGGGAGCCAAAGTCACGTTCCACTCGCGGGGAGGGGGCGCCCACCCCCAGCCGTGTTTGCCCTGCTGGACCCCGGTCCAGACTCACGCACACCTGTGGTGGGAGCCCCGACTCCGTGCGCCCCTGTGCGTGGGGGCTTAGCGTCTGTGGGGACCGCCACTGCCACCGGCTCCCGCAGCTTCCTCCTCTTCACCCCTCCTGCCCCAGCCACCCCTGATGCCGCTGGGGTACCTGGGCCTCCCCTGGCCCACCCGTGCCCTGTCTGTGGGGGCCACCTCGTCCCCCGCATCCCACAGACACGCAGAAGGAGCTCCAGGCACTTCTCTGAAGGAGCCGGCTCCGTCTCATTTCCTGAGAGCCGGGACTTGCGGCCTTTGTTCTGGAAGGTGGAGGCAACCCCATGCCCCTGCCTGGGGCCTCTCTACTCCCACCTGTCAGATCTACTTCCATGGCGAACCTATTCCCGTGACCATAACTGTGACCAACAACACAGAGAAGACCGTGAAGAAGATTAAAGCAGCAGGTAGGACCCTCTTCTCACTGTGGGGTGGCGCCTTGGGGAGCGCCTCACCTGGTGGGGCCCCGGGCCCTGGTTCTGGTGGGAGAGGGCAGCAGCCTGGGACGTGGCCTCCTGCACATGTGCTGGGGGCCCGTGGGCCTCACAGTGTGCGTCCTAGCCTGCCCTCCAGGGCTTTGTGAAGGCCTGAGGCCTGGTCACACGAGGGAGTGGACTCCTGTGACTGTCACCCCAGACCCCCGTGTGAGGGTCAAACCTGGCTCACAGCACCAAAGGGCAGGCCTGCTCTCAGATCACATCCCCTGGGGCTGCATAAAGCAGACGGGGGGGGGGGGCCTGTGAGCTCCCCTCTGGCGCAGACACCCAAGAACGAAGGCGGAGGGGACAGGCGTGTGCTGGGCGGCGGGACGGAGGATGCCGGACTGGGCAGGGCGCGTCCTGGCCAGGCCAGGGGCTTCGCGGGGCCGCCCACCGGCTTCTCCTTGTGCTGTGTCCCGCCCGCGTAGAGAAGACTCGGGGATCTGGCCGCAGATGCACGGGAGTCACTGTTCAGACTGACGGGAGCTCTGACGTGTGGCACCGAGGTCCTGGTGGGACCCGCACCAGGGGTCTGGCGCAGCCGCAGAGGAGCAGGGCTGGGACGGCGCCGATGTGTGCCTCCATCTGAAATCAGTGCTCGAGCTGTGTGAGGCCTGACAGCGGAGCCACTGGGTTCCGGGCGCTGCCACAGACCTGAGCGCGTGGCCGCGGCAGCTTTCTGTGGGCAGCCCGAGGGGCACTTTCGTCCTCACATTTGCTTTTAGCAGACATTCGAAGTTCCCCTCCTAATCACCACCACAGCCACGTGGGTAGCATGCAGTGGTCACCACCCCTTCACTGATGGGGCGCTGGGTGTCCGCAGCTCCACTTGCACTCCACGGCCGACGCTTAAGCGGGGCCTGGAGCTCTGGCCTCTTGCATCCTCCCCCCCGCTCCCACCGGTCAACTTCATGCTGCCCGCAGATAATTTCAAGCTTGGAAATGGGAGCTGTTGGCTGTTGGCTGAGGAGTTGGGGGCTCGTGGTGAGGGTGCCCTGGGGCTTCCCTGGACGCCCCCTAACAGGAGCTGACGCCGAGCAGGGGTCACTGGACAAACGCTGGACGCTCTGAGCACAGAAGCCCAGCTGAGTGGCCCCCGCAGCTGGTCATCCTGAGGCCTGATGGCCAGTCCCTGAGGCGCAACAGGTGCTCAGAGCCCTCACCCCTCTCTTCGCAGTGGAACAAGTGGCCAACGTGGTTCTCTACTCCAGTGACTATTACGTGAAGCCGGTGGCTGTGGAGGAAACGCAGTGAGTAGCCGTGGGCTTCGGCTTCCTGGGCGGCCCAGGCCTCGGCCAACTTCCCCTTCGTTCTCGCTGAAGAAGGACGCAGCAGCCCAGGCCCTGCATCTCCTTCCCCTTTCCCACCTCAGGGGCGCCACTGGCCCCCCACTCTGTGGCCCTCCCGTCCTGGGACCCGTCAGGCTAAGGAGCAGGGAGAGGACAGGCAGCCAGGCTGGGCACGGTGGCACTTGCTGTTTGGGTTGCAATAGGCGGGCACCCTGTTAGTGCCGCCCCCAGCCCCGGCGCGGGGTCCTCATCTGCGCTGCCTCAGTCTGGGGAGTTCATGCCAATGACTAGGGGGCGCGTGGGTCCTAGCGGGGGCCACAGGCGCGTTTCCCCTGGAGGTCTCAGCCACACGGGCCCCTGTGACGGCTTCTTGGGGGAGTGGAAACCCCCGGCTCACTTTGCCTGGGAAGGTGGATTTCATCACCCACGGGCTCGGGGGGCTGTGACGCCCCGCCCCAGAGGACCTTCCTCTTGGTGTCCGCGACCCGTGGGGCTGTAAGCTCTGTGCATGTAGAGCACACTGCCCCTCAAGGGCAGAAAGCACCCTGAGGACCACACACATCACGTATTGAGAAGGTGACTGGGGAAATCTCAGAGCGGATCCAGACTCAAGCGTAAGGAGCCATCTCGAGGGGAGGCCGGCAGGAAGGGGCCAGAACACACCAGATGCGCCCTGGCTTTCAGGCCGCCTCTTGCACGCCCTTGTGGGGGCCCCTAGGTCCCATGCTCCCCACGACGGGGGACGGGGCCCTGGCTGGGTTTTCTCCTGATTCACTTCGTTCTCTGGTCCTCCTGCTTGTCTTGCAGCAAATGACTGTCAGGAAACTGGGAACATTCTGGGGTCTCCCCAAGGGGGGGCTGGATCATGCTAGCAGGGCTCAGAGCAGAGGCCACTCTCAAGGCTGCCGAGCATCCTCCGTTGCCCCGAACCCCGCAGATCCCAGGGAGCAGGTCAGACGTGCCTCCCAAATTGCTCCCCACTGTCCAACCCAGACCCTGGAGGTGCGGGGTGCGGCTGTGCTGGCCCCAGGGCCTTGGTCTGTGCCTTGGGCAGCTTCAGCCACAGACACGGCCGTGGCCTGAACCCAGCCCCGAGGCCCCTTCCTACTAGAGTCGCCTTTACAGTGTGAGGTCTGCCCTGCGCCTGCTGCCCCGGCCGTGGCCTGGAGGGAGGCCTCGAGGAGCCTTCTCAGGATCCTCATAGACGCCAGAGGAGCAGCCACTGCACATGGGGAAGCGGGAGCGGGGGCCCTTCCCAGGGCGCAGGCCCACGGGGCCGAGTTCCCAGCTGTGGCTAAGGGAGGGCCTGGGCTGGCCGGCGGGCCAGCCCTCGCCTGCTACCCTGGGGACGGAAGGGGCATCGTGCGGCTGCTGCTCGCTGGCCTGCGCGCGGGACAGCGTGTGCTCGGGGACCGCCACCCTGCCGCCTGCACAGTGGGGCTCCCGGGAACACCTGCTGCGTCGCCGGGGAGGGGCGAGACTCGAGGTCGGGTGGGTGGCTCCTGGCCAGCCCGGCTGGGAGACCCCAGAATGGTTCCCAGTTTCCTGATGTCATGTGGCGACAGCCCCGGACACTTTCTGTGTCCCCAGCTGCACCTGGACCCACACAGCCAGCCTTCGGCTCAGGCTCCCGGCCCGCCAGCTGCTGGGGGCCACCCAGCACGTGACGGTGGGGGCGGTGTGGACAGAGTGTGTGTTGCCGCGAGCCCAGGCCAGGGCAGGCTGGTCAGTCCGAGGCACGAGCAGAGGGTGGCCCAGCCCTTCTCAGCTCTCCCCTAGGCCTGCATGCACCCCCTGATAGCCACAGCTTTGGGCGGCAGGAGACACCCAGACTGGTGCCAGAGGGCCCTGCAGTCCACGGAGTGCCCACAGTCTCAGGAGCAGACTGTGGGATCCCTGACCCTAGGGCCAGTGGGTCTCAGGTAACCCCACAGAATGTTCTGGAAGTCCAGGCCAGGCCGTGGGGCAGCGTCCTCCTGTTGCTGCAGATGCACAGGCCCTGGACTCCCTGGTAGGTGGCCGGGAAGCTGGAGCCTGGGAGGGGCTCGAAGGCAACATACAGGCAGGAGGCCAGCCACGTCTCTCTGCTGCTCCCTGCAGAGAAAAAGTGCCACCACACAGCACGTTGTCCACCACACTGACCCTGCTGCCCTTGCTGGCCAACAACCTGGAGAGGCGGGGCATCGCCTTGGATGGGAAAATCAAGCACGAGGACACCAACCTTGCCTCCAGCACCATGTGAGTCCCAGCGCCAAGCTCCACGTTTCCCCCGCCCCCACCGCTCACAAGCCACATATCAGCTGGCACTTGGGGTGCAGAGCCAGGCTGAGCGCCCAAACGGGGACCCCACTCCTGGCCCCGGTGGGTTGGAGGGCGCCTCTGCCCTGAGCAGGGTGAGGCTCAGCCCGGGGACATTGGCCGTGCTTCTCCAGATGGCGGGGAGGGGGGCGGGCTGTTGCTCCTGCTGCCGCCCGCTCCCCCTGCACCCCCTCCTGTTCCTTTCTGTTTGAACAGCCTGAAGGAGGGCGTCGACCGCACCGTCCTGGGGATCCTGGTGTCTTACCAGATCAAGGTGAAGCTCACGGTGTCGGGGTGAGTGTCCTGGCCCACAGCTGGCTGCTGCGTGGCCTCCGTGGGCTCCGTGGTCCTTCCCTGGGTCACTCTGGGGCGGTTTCCAGATGGAAAGCCAGGAAGGCCCCCACATTCCACCGGCTTTGGAAGAGACTATTTATTGATAGGACATCGTGGAAATGGTAGAAAAGAAGACCCCAAATATGTGCACCCTTTCCTCCAGTTGACAGAAATGTGTGTGTGTGTGTGTGTGTGTGTGTGTGTCTGCCTGTGCTGGCAGAGAAGCAACAAGCAAAACTCAGTAGCATCATATTGTAGGTGGGCAGAGGCTGGCTGCCAGAGACCAGCTCCGGCGGCTCTCGAGTGGACTCAGGCTAGTGTCACTCGGTGGCTGGTCAGGAAGCTTCTTCCCAACACGGAACCATGACACGCAGAGACTCCAGACAAGAGCGTGGGCAGCTCTGAGTTCCAAGAAAACGATTTTCTATTTTGTCTCCCCTTTTCTTTCTTTTGTTTTTTTTAAAAAGATTTATTTATTTTTAAGGTTTATTTATGCATGTAGAACTGGGGTGCAGGCCATAAGTATGGGGGTTGAGAGGATTCCCCAGAGACAGAGTGGGGGGCAGAACAGGTGGATCCACTGAAATATGCTGCTGAGCAGCGGGGAGACAGACGAGGGCTGCTGGGGGTCTCCCCCTGGCGGGGATTGAACTCGCGCTGAAGCGGCTGTGGCCAGCTTTGCGTGCTGCGTCCTAAGCCGCTGGGGAGGGCAGTGTCTCCCCTTTCACCGTCCAGCTGGAAGGAACAATTTGCCCAAAGCCCTGCTGACCCCCTGGGGTTCCAGGCATCAGAGCCACGCCCTCAGGTCTGTCCCTAACTGAGCAGGCACAGGCTCCCCAGATTTTTCTTGGGGAGTCACAAAGTAGAACATGTTTTAGGGATTTTGCGAGCCCTGTCTTTGCCTTGGCTGTTTCCACAGTGTGTGGGTGTGTGGCGGCTTCTTTTCTTCCCTCCCTACCCCTCTCCCCCAGGGGGTCTAAAAGAGGGTGATGTTACTTCAGCCCAGGGGTGCGAGAGCACCACCTCCTCTGACACCCCGAAACTCTCCAGCAGTGGGCCCCCCACCCAGGCTCCCGGGGAAGGGGTGGAGTCCAGGCAGAGCAGGGTGAGGTCCCGTGGGCTGGGGGCACAGCCAGCTGCCCCGACGTGACGGGGTGCGCTCGGGCTGCCAGCTGGAGGGTGACACGCGTCTCTGCTTTTGCTCCCTAGTTTCCTGGGCGAGCTCACCTCCAGGTAAGCAGCCTTGTCAGGTGCCAAAGGGAGCCAGACAGTGACCGAGAAGCTGACTGCCGGCAGCGGTGGCCCTGGCGTGAGGAAGCCCAGCCACTGCCTGTGGCTGTGTGCGCAGACTGGCTGGCGGGGGAGGCTGGCGCTCCTGAGGCTGCAGCTGGGCCTTTGCCTGGGCAAGGACACACACGCATGCGCGCACACCACACACGTCACTTCTCTCCCCACAGTTTCTTGTCACTGCAACTAATAGCCAAGAGGGAGGGGCGCCTGAGAGCCCCCCAGAGCCCAAGAGCCTAAGAGCCCCGCTAGGCTCGGCCACACCTAGGGATGTGTCTGGGCCACATTCTGGGGGACGCATTGAAAATGCCTGCTTAGCCGCTTGCTGGTTTTGTTGGTCTGGTTTGGGCTTGATCCCGCTGAATCTGCTCTGGCCTGGGGATGCTCCCCCATCTCCGCACCCTGGCCGGTAGCTTGGGCGCCTAACTGCCTGAGTTCTCACCCACCCACCCGGGTTTGCTTTCTGCTTTTTTCTAGTGAAGTGGCCACGGAGGTGCCGTTCCGCCTCATGCACCCCCAGCCCGACGACCCAGGTCAGTGACGCTCAGTGTTTGCGGTGGAGGGTGGTTGTGCCCCGTCTAGGATCCCAGGCGCCTGCAGGCTGGGTGGCAGCTTGGCCGCCAGCTCGGGGTGCCCCCGGCTTGCCCTCTGCCAGTGAGGAGGCGCCCTGCTGTCTGGTTCCATTTCGTCAGCCATAACTCAAAGGCAGGAGCTTGCCATGAACAGACCTGGGTTGAGATTTGCAGATCATTTAGGTGAGAAATAAAATGGAGAGCCCAGGGCTTCTCATTCATTGGGGAGCATCGGCAGGTAGGCAGGAGATGGGGAGCCGGTTTTGGGGCTCCTGCCAGTGTGTTTTGGGATTCACACTCCACGAGTGAGTGAAGCCATGTAGAAGTTTCCTTTAATTTCTGACTTATTTTGCTTTGCACCCCAAGTTCCGTCTCTTGTAATAGCTGAGCAGTGTTCCACTGTGCACGCCGACCACGTCTGTCTGCAGCCGCGTAGCTGAGGCCTGGTTCCGTGTCTGGCTGCTGCGACACAGGGCTCACAGTTTTCAAATTAGTGTTTTCACTTTCTTTGGGTGAATAGCTAGGAGTGGGACCACTGGGCCATTTTTAGTTATTTTTTTTTTTAAAGATTTATTTATTTATTTGTGCATACAGAACTGGGGTACAGGCCAGAGGCTCAGGGGCGGTGAGAGGCTTCACCAGAGACAGAGTGGGGAGCAGAACAGGCAGATCTACGAAGTACACTGCTGAGGGGAGCAGCGGGCGGGTCAGGAGAGGTCTGGCTCGCCATGTGGTCTCCTCCGGGGCAGGCGGCAGGCGGGAATCGAACTCATGCGGAAGTGGCTTCAGATTCTCAGTACTGTGCTTTAACCCGCTGCGCCACCAGGGAGGGCCATTTTTAGTTATTTTTAATTTTTTTTTAGATTTATTTCATTTATTTATAAACACAAAAGTTGAGGTGTAGGCCAGAGGAATGGGGGTGAGAGGATTCACCAGAGACAGAGAGGGAGCAGGTGGGTCTACTGCTGAGGGGAGCCGCGGGGAGACAGGAGAGGGCTGCTGTGCCCTGGGGTCCCCCCCCCCCACCCCGGCGGGGACTGACCTGTGGTGGTAGTGCTAAGCCTGAGCCCCTGGGCCGCCAGGAGGCCCCAGCTTTAGTTTTTAAGGGGTCTTCATACCATTTCCACAGAGGCCGCACACACATCACCCACCACACAGAAGGGGAGCCCCTTTCTCCTCTCCCCAGGGCCCGCTGGGGCTCCTCTGGTACCCGCAGTCCTCACAGGTTGCTGTGGTTTTGATTTCATAGAAACCAAGGAAAAATTCTCCGCCATGTGTTAAGGGGGCTGGTTGATGGGAAAGAAGACCGGGCGAGTCTGGAGGAGAAGCCTCCCCAGAATAATAAGGACTGTTTGGGGGAAAAGGGGCTGGAGCCAGTAGGGTTTTCTCAGACTTTATAAATAGCTTCTCTGTATTGATAACAAAACGACATTTAAACATCGAGTCAGCCACCACATTCATTTTGAGTTTTGTCTCCAAACTATTGTGTTTTGAAGTATCTTTTCCAAATATTTTGGATTCTTATCCTCCATGTGCTTTGCCAAAACCTCCCCCCAAGGGAAAATAGTCTAGCCATATTTTTTATATTAATTTATACTTGCATTAGGAAAATAACTACTTTTTAACTATGTGACTGGAGCTGCGCTGGACATTTTTCAAGGACACTTGAGAACTCCGGCCTGAGGACGGATGTCCTGTCACTGTGTCGGGCTGCTTCCTGCTGTCGGCCTGTGGCTCCCCGGGGGACGGTGCTGCTGCCCCGTGGCTGGGCGAGCAGGGAGCACCCCGTGGCTGCTGCCCCATCACCGGCTCTCCCCGAACCCGCCACAGGGCCACACCGTTTAGGTGGTCTTTGGCACGGTGAGCTTTCGAGGAGAAAGGACAAATCATCCCAGGCCCTGAAATGCCAAATTCCAGAGGCTTCCGAGTTACCAAGTTGCGTTCACCCGTACAGGACACACTTACACGCGTGCCCACAACACGGGGGGCGCACCCCCACCCACGCCGCGTTCCGGGCACCCCGGTCTAGCTGGTGGAGTGCCAGCAGACCGAGTTCAAGCTGTCGCTCAGCAGCCCCAGGGCAGGGCCTGTCCGGGTGTCCAGGCCCCTGCCAGGGTGCTGTGTGCTTCTCGCCTCCTTGAGGCACCTGGTCCCTGTGGATGTGACTTTTGTGCTTAGCACTTGGGGGGCCAGGAGGTTCTTGCCCAGCGGATGTTTCAGTGAGTCAGTCTCTCCCTGTGGGTAGGGCTCCCTAACAGCCTCCCGCCACTGCTGGCTTCCAGGGCCCCGGAGACGAAGCAGTGGCTCGCTGTCACCGTCACCGTCACCACGTTGCTCTCTGCACTCGCTTCTTCCTGCCCACCCCCGAGGGGTTAGGCCAGTGCTTGCTCGGGGGGCAGAAAGCCACAGAAACTAACAAACTGACAGCCACGCGCCTGGGGGAGCAAATATCGACCAAAACACAACCCAGCGAAGAGAGCAGTGCGTTACCAGAGCACTCAAACTGGGGGGCCGGTAGTTCTCATGTTGACGCACACCCCCACCACTGGGTGCTCTCTCAGGGCGCGCCCGAGAGAGACCGTGGGAGGGCACCCAGGAACAGCTGGGGATTCTGCTCTCGAGGGACCCAAAGAACACGTGAGGAGAAACACCTTGAAAAGAGAAGGCAGCGTCGGGGCACGAGGCCAGCGGGCCCCAGAGGTGGGGGCGGCCTCCTGGCCCTGAGCAGGCGAGGATCACCCTTTGCTCCGGGGTGCGGGGCCAGACGTGCAGGGACACCCTCCGTGTCCCTGGGCTGGGCTCTGGCACCCCGCCGCTCTCGGTCACCCGGGACAGCTGTTGCCCAGGACCTCTGCTAACAGGTGTCTCTCTCCCCTTTGTTCCCGCTGCAGCCACGGTGAAGGAAAGGTGAGCCGCCAGGTGCCGCGGAGGCCGTTGGGGTCATTCCACACACGCCCTGTGCTCTCAGCGTCGCAAAGCGCGGGCCTCTGCTGTCCCTCTGCTCCCTAGTACCAGCATGCGCACGCGGGCACACGCGGGCAGACCACCCACGGCACATACAAGGCTGCACGACATAGGCGCACACATATCGGTGCGCACACATGAAGACAGACACGCCAGAAAAGGCGCACACACGTCAGCATATGTACACACACACGGGAACCCCCCGCCCACGAGGCTGCACACACACACATGTGTGCAAGGCACCCCACTCAGGAGCACACGGTGAGCGTGGGCACACCGGGGATGCAGCACATGCCTACACGTGTACACAAGCGTGCGCACACGGACACACGGGCAGACCACCCATGCACACGCACACATCACACACGAGGCTGCACAACACACATGTGCAAGGAACCCCACACGTGCACGCACAGGCGTGCACATGTGAACATACACACACCAGAAGGTGCACGCACCACACACACACACACACACACACGGCCTGGAGGCACATGCAGACGTCTGCACACCGCCCACGTGGCTCCTGCCTCACGCCGGTGCCCACCCTGCGGGTCCCTTCGCGTGCTCTCGCTTCTGTCCGCTTGTGAGGGAAATGGCACGGGCTGTGTGCCCGCCCCGCGGCCGGTTCCTCTGTGGCAGCAGGAAGATTGAGCTCTCTCCCTGGAGATTCATTTCAGGCTTCAAAGTGTGTGCTGCGATCAAAATGCTCTTTGTTTGATTTTAGGTTTAAGGAGGAAAATTTGGTTTTTGAGGAGTTTGGTCGTCAGAATCTGAGAGACGCCCCCGAGGACGAGGAAGGGAAGAAAGAGGCGGCCACCCACGAGGGATGAGGCGCCGGGGCCCGGGTGGGGAGGGCCCCGGCCTGGTGGCGAGCCCCGCGGGCAGCCCTGTGGTTTTCTGTGCGCACTAGTGCATCTTCCTCACGGGAATAAAGCTTGACCCTTCCTCCCTGGCTGTGGCTCGGTGACTGCTTGGGAGGCTCAGTCTTGTCACCGGCAAAGGAGCTACAGCCTTCAGGGCCCCGAGCCTTGGGGAGGGGGCAGCAGCGTCTAGAAAGGCCCTGCACAGACACATCGGGGAGAGAAGGTCTCCCCGAATCCGTGCGCTCACCGTGTGGTGCTGTGTGTCCTGGGCCTCCCCAGGGGCCCGCGTAAACTGGTCTCCTGGGAGCTTATGGCGCAATGGGGGCTGTCTCTGGCACCCTGACCGACCCTAGCTCCTGGCGCCCAAAGAACCTCCTGAGTTAGAACAGAGAGCGCACCAGTGACTCGACGGTTGGGTGCAGGACCCCATTTGAGCTCTGGGTTAAGTTTCTACAGAGCAAATGCAATGCATCAGGTATGGCTATGTCACGGGCGAAAGGAGTGTACCAGAAGAGCCCCATGACTCAGAAACCGACTTGAAGAAGAGTCTGAGCAGCTACTCGGGAGCGGACATCAGACAGGGTCCAGCCTCGGGGGCAGCTGTGCAGCTGGGGTGGCCACGGGGCCCAGATTCCTGTAGGCTCTGGCGTGGGCCTGGGCAGGAGGGCAGCCGTCCCGGCTCCAGTTAGGAGCATCCGTGCCCCGGGCCAGCCTGAGGACCGGGGTGTCCCCAAATGGGGGTTCCTCGTGAGTTGGACAGGCTTCTTGGTGAGTGTCTTCGTCTAGATGGGGCCCAGCATCAGACAGGGCTGTGACGGTGATGCCAGGGCCATGTGCTCCGAGGCGGCCCCTCCCTGGCCCATGCTGCCCACCAGCCTGGGGGCTGCGACTGATGGCAGAGCCTGCAGGTTCCCTGGTGCTGGGGGGCCCAGGGGGTATGAGGCTCTGGCCCATGCCTCTGGGGGGCAGGAATAAACGAGACGAGGTGCTGCTTGCTTTAACCACTGACTGGAGGGAGGATGCTGACGGGACAGGCTCTGAGTGGGCAGGGTCTCCTGGACCAAGAATGCCGCCAGAGGCAGGACAGCAGTTTGGGCTCCACGCACGCGGCCTCCCAGCATCTGGGGGTGCGGGGGTAG